TGATATATATTGAACGGTGTATGAGGTGTATCGAAACGGATATATGCCTGTCTCGAACTTGTATCTTAGTGTCTCGAAACGACCTGTCTCGAAACGACTGTGTCTCGAAATGACCGGATACCGTTTTTTGCTGCTGTCAATCAAAAATAATTGGTTGTTACCTTTAATATTTTTGACTGGTGGTAGCGAAAGACCAATTTCACAAACAAGCGGATGGAACTCTCAGAAATTCCAACAGCTTGTCATGAAATTGATTTTGCTCTGCTGTTGATCAAAAATAATTAGTTAAAAACGAATTTCACAACAAACTGTAGGTGGACCAAACTGTAGGAATATCTCAGTTTACAGATAATCGAGAATAGCGCAGCACAACCCTGACGTCATAAAAACGAAGACAAAGGCGAAATTCGGACAAACAAACTTACAAGTTTACTTTCAGCAGATAATTTTCACAGCCAATCGCAGTTGATCTTAGTTTACATGGGTTATTATTGTAACTTAATTAAGTAAAAATAATAAAATCAGTTTGTTTATCATATGACCCATACGGCACTGCTCGCGCGCTCTAATAAAGCCATTGGAAAAAGTCACGTGATGGGGGCCGGACGGGTTGACGGAAGCGGGCCGGAAAAATCCGTCCGGCCCTGCTCGAATCCGCGCGCTTTCTTTTTCTTAATTATTTTTATTTTCGTGAGGGTCATATGATAAAAATAATGCTTATTGACTGAGTTAGGTCGGGCCGTACGGGAAAATATTTGGCTCTCGGTCATTTGTACGGACCTCGCTGCGCTTGGTCCGTACGACATGACCTCGAGCCAAATATTTTCCCGTACGGGCCTCCCACTCAGTCAATAAGTACATAATAATCCTAGTAGCAGTTAAACAGAATGCAATGTTTGTCCGAATCTTTAAGCTATTTTTAGAATCAGTGCGCTGTGCTATTGCACTAAATAGAATTTTTAATACTTCTAAAATTGCAGAAGGTATTTTTCTGTGATTGACATCAACACTACTACCCATTATTCTTTGTCATAATTTTTATTATATTAATAATCTGTTATTACAGTGGTGTAATGATATAATACTCTTGTACATGTGCAGGCTATAATAAACCCTTGTAGTTGTTTTAAAACATCACTTTCATGTCCAACCATTACAAAAACAATACTGAATTATAAATATAGAGACATCAAAGCTGAAAATGAGAGGTATTCATGGTAGTCCATGGCCATATCCTGCAGGGCATTTTGAGACCTTTTGCACAGAGACACGCATATGAGGAGTAACAAAATTGATGGGTTGCAACCATTCCCTAGGAAATTGCACCAACATGGCCACAATGACGCAATGTACAAACAAAGAATACTTTGTTAGGTAACTTGAACTAATGTTTGAGAGCTGCAAAACTGCAATATGCACAATATGAACTTCATTAATTGTTTACCCAGAACCCCGGGGGGAGGGGGTACTCTTGCTTGTTTAGGGCAAGGATGTGCTGCTTAACCCTGACCCTGTTTGAGAGTAAAATTGCTGAAATTCATACCCTGTTCAAGAGTAAGATCGCTGAAAAGTAGAGGTTTTGCATCATCATGTGATAGGAAACCTGTGATAGCAGCCATGATTGGAGGCAGGAACAATAATTGCATCTGGTCTAATATAATTTAAACGAGAAAGGATTTGGTTTCCCAAGGGGAAAAAGACTTGTTGTGCCTCCAGTCATGGCTGCCATTAGTGATGGTGCAAAGCCTCTATATATACAATTTTGTTTCCAATCACAGTTGACTCTAGTCTCCTATGCAGCCGCTATTAGTGTTGACACACAAGTCCCCTAATTAGCTAATTAAAGGGGTAAGCATTGCATGATGACACTATTAGCTTATGAGTAGGAGACTGTTGAGCAGCAAAAACAAAGAAAAGTTGTGTTTATTGTAGTGCACATTTATTGCTTTTTCTTATGCACTGATATAATTCTGAAACAACGTCTGGGCTGATCAAGTCGGGCAGGGGACAGCTAACTCACAGGTGGAATCCTGAAACAACCTCTGGGTGGATTGAAGTCAGGGTTAGGGCTAACTCACAGATAGAAGCCAGAAACAACCTCTGGGCTGCTCAAAGTCAAGGTTAGGGCTAACTCACAGATAGAAGCCGGAAAAAACAACCTCCGGTCTGAGTCAGAACATGGTTAACACAGATGGAATCTTCAAATAACCTCTGGGCCAAGCAATTAAGTCAGGGCATGGCTAACACAGATGAACACCTGAAACAACCTCTGGACTGATTGAATTGTCAGTGTACAGTTAACACATCCACTGGCATACATAGTAGAGTACTTCTGAATAATTATTGCTGATTGACTGCAGGGTTAAAATTGAGTAGAATTGGATAGCAATACTGATGTTGCATTATTTATATCATTGTTGGTTACACTGAGGGCGTGGAGAACATCTTGTCTTGCAAAACCCATTTCAACCAGGCTACGCACCTAACCAATACAGAAGATATAATAAATTTCTTAAAAAAAACAACAGTGAGAATCATTTACCCGACACATTGAATATGACGTAATCTGATATACTAGAGGCCTAACTAGTACTAGTGCCCACTATTATGGAAATTTTTTCTTGTCCTTGTGACATGCATTTATTCTTATATGAACCAGTTTAATTGCTGGGTTTCAATCAGCCAATGAATTTTTTTGAATCTCATTTCCTGCTCCAAATGGTGGTGATTACCATGAGAGGTCAGCCAGAAAGGATTACTGGGTTTCAATCGGCTGAAAAAAGCCTTTGAATCTCATTGACTGCTGTTAATGGTGGTCAAACGCTGACCATCATGTGCTGCTGTCAAATTCTACTGGAAGGCTACAATTCATGATTCACTGCCCAAGACAGGAAATAACGCAAGGGTGGATCCAGGGTTTTTTGAAGGGGGGGTCTCAGGGGTAAATTTTGTGGGCAAAGGAATCCCAGTCGCATTTTTACCACAGGAAGCCCATTTGACCTCAGGAAGGACAGGGGGGTCGCGACCCCCCCGACCCTCCCCTGGATCCGCCCTTGTAACGTCTAGTGAAACCCAGCAATTCTTATACCCTGTTAATAGAGAAGCTTTTTCTTATCCTTCCCACCCCCTTCCCTCTTTTGGTTGTGAGAATTAATTGGGTTTCAACTGTAATGAGCAGTTAGTATCTACTGAATATTTCCCATGCCATCAAAACATCTATAAAGCATGTTCTAGGTACTAGCTGGTACCTGGTAATGGCACAGAAACAACTAAAGTATCAAATCAAATACCTGATCTTCAGAAATCTCTTCCATTGGTTGCTGCTGTTGATTAGCATTGTCGTCATGATGATCAAGTGGTGATCCTTCAGCGTGGTTTCGAGGTGGGGCCAATAACCAGTCTCTTAACCCATTTGCTGGTGGAACCATTACTTCAGCATATCCCTGGCCTGCTCTTGACCTTGTCTGGAATAATAATGCAAATTTATTGATATTGTATGATAACATTATCCTCAGCATAAAAAGGACCATACAGGGCTTATTCAAATCTAGAGTAGATTTTATGATTATCAAATGGTTATGCACAGCACTCAAGATCATTTCTCAGCCAACAAAATGATCAGACATAGGGTTCAATTCCTGGACTCAGCATTATACACTTAAGAGTATGGAATTTGTTAGGTCTCTAAGTTGATTTGAGTGTTTTTCTCTTGATTTTCCCCTCTTCCTTCCTCCACAAAACCTAGCACTCTAAATGCCAATCCAATCTGTGAGTTAGCTGTTCCCTTACTTAATTAAATTAGATCAGCCCAGAAGTTGTTTCAGGATTTTATCTGTGAATTAACCATGCCCTGACTTTGATCACCCCAGAGGTTATATCAGGGGATCTTGTATGCGAAGGCAACTGTGCAAAAGGAAATGTAACCATCTACTAGCATTCAAGGTCCTTACCCTTTGGTGTGCAGCATTCGATGCTACTGCTCTTTGTATCATCTGTTGTTCATACCATTCCATCTGTTGCTGTTCTTGTATTTCTACTGTTGCCCCCAAGGGGAAGGGATAAGGGGATTCTTCAGGAGTACTTTGAAACAGACTACCAAACACTCTGGAGAACAGCCTTACAATGAATCCTGGTAGTTTAAGCCATGATTGAACATAGGCTAAGTTACTCTTGTAAATAAGCCCCGCAGCCTGTATACAAATTATTATACAATACACTTATGTTAGCGCAGCTTGTTCAAAGTTCTAAAAACATACTTTACTCTACTATACACTAAAATGCATCATACCCCACTATGTTACAATGGCACTACATTAGACCATACTACAATAATCTACACCCTAATACTACATACCACACCACACAACACATGACAAGACATAACATTCCAAGTTAAACTACAACACACTTTACTTCATTCTAACTTACCACACTGCCCATACTGTATTACACGACAATACACTATTATAATAATGTCTCACACAATTCTACTGAAAACTACTTGTAACATACTTATAAGAGTAAATGGTTTGAACCCATGTGTTGAAGTTTGCTGTGAAACGTGGTTGTCCAGGTGAGTGAGTGTAGTCTTGAGAAAGACTGTTGTCAGTGGTGACTGACATACTTATCATGCACTTTTTAAATCACTTTTATTTAAGTGTCTAGTCGTTCTAGTGCTTTCGCACTAATTGGGGAAACTTTTCGCTCACACGCACTACCACTGCATTCAATATTCTATGCAAACAATGCTCAGCTCACAGTGCAATTAACAATTACACTGAAGTGCATGTATCCACACTTTTCCATCCCCTGCCAAAAGCGCACCACGCCAACCCTTATTACCCTTCAGAATAACCATGAAATACCAAACTAGCTATAAATTATTCAGAGAATGTGAATAAATCATACCATTCCACAGACTCCTGCAATAAAAGATTCCCTGCTGCCCAAAAGCATCTGCAAAGACCAATAGCATTGCTTGTCAAATTTTGTTCGATTTTAATTTAGCAATGCCAATATTATGCAAATTACATAGAAGTTATGTAATGGCCAGGAGATCCATATAGGTAAAAACTATATCCGATCACAGTCTGGAATAGAAAATACTGCCAGCTCCAACAGCCAATCAGAAAACATGTTTTTAACGTATTGTGGATACTTGAAGCATAGGAATGAGACGTTGTTAGAACACTGGACCAGAAAAAAAAAAAAAAGAAAGAAAGATAGAAAGAAAAAAAGATTTAGAAAATACCTGTAGAGCTACGGAGTAGTTTAGAACCTTCCCTGAGATAGGAATACCTATAACCATTACGGCATCTATTGAAGGGATTTCAAAGAAATACCTAACAAGAGTTGCAAATATCATTCCATATCTGTGGAAAATATTAATGTTAAGGAAACATTTCCAACGAACAGAGTTAGTATTTTGGGTTGCGTAGTAATGTACAATACTCCAGTTTCAAGTTCTCTGTTGCTTAGGGTTAGTCTCCCTTTTATGCAGAATATTCATGTGTTCCAGTGAAGGTCTGTGGAATTTCAAATCGTTTGTGTAATTCTTGAAGTTGTGCATTCTTTCCAGGTGATCTCGGTTCTATCAGAAAGAATGAATAGACCCGTTTCGAATTCCAAATTACTGCTGTGTTTCTTGGTTACAGACTCATTTACACAGGGTTAGCCTCGAGTTTGTGCAGAATATTCACATGTTCCAGTCAAGGTCCATCGAGTTTCAAAATGTTTGTATTGTTGAAGTTGTGCATTCTTTACTTTACCGTTGGTATTTGTGAATATTTAAACACTTATACAAGGCTAACCCTGTGCAAATGAGTTTGTAATCAAGGAACACAGCGGTAATTTGGAATTCGAAACTGGTCTATTGATTTTCAGCGAACGTTTGTTTGTAGTTCAAGATTTCCTAATTCCAAGTTGTTTTTTTTTTGGTGTACATGTCCAATCATTACAAAGATTTATGTAACTGACAGTAGTCTACTAGTTCAACAGCATTGACTTTTCCACTGGATAAGGACTTATCCCTTTGGATATTGCTATCTACCCTTGGTACAACTGGGCCCAACTGATTAACCTGTTATAAATGAGTTTTATCTCAATTAGCATTAATGAAATAGTGATAACAGAACTGATAACTAGATCAAAGATACAATCCAGAGGGTAGTGGCTCTAGCTGGTATCCATAATGCTTCAATCCATACACTGTAATCAACTGTAATCCTGCAGCAATAACTGTACTTGCAAAAACATATGACTGAAAAAAAACATCAATACTTACTTGTTTCAGGGTATTGAAAAACTTTGAAGTTTTTTTGAAATTGAAATATGTTACAAGTTATAATTATACCCAAATTAACCTGTGGTGTTACACCCAACTTACTGCATATTTTCCAGAACCTTGACGTCTTTCAAAAATGCGAAAAGCATACAATAGGATAGATCCACATAGAAGATCCCTTGCGCTTGAAAAATATATAGTTGAACTAAGCCCCTGCAATAACTATGATAAAAGAAAGAGATGGTAAGAATAAAAATTAATTAACTTCCCACCATAATAATGAAGTATTATAGAACTATCAAACATTGGCCCAAACTGCAATCATGATGTAGCATATGCAATAGCTAGATGGTCTTTGAATTTAGTAAAATACTGCGTTCCTCAATTAAGGTTTCATTTATGCAGTCTTAGCCTTGAATCAGTGTCTAAATATTCACAAATACCAGCGGTAAAGTAAAGAATGCACAAATTAAGCATTACTGTAATTTTTTTAAAAAATTCCACGCTGTACAACAGCAGTTCCTTGTACTATTTTAGAAAAATTATTATAAAATAACTATTATGAATCTCATGTACTGACTGGTTGGGAGCGAATGCTTTATCAGAGGAGACAGCATGTGCATGCACTTTCTATAATTCTTTATTTGTATCCACAATAAYGGTTATTCTATTCTAAAATCTTGCTTGATGTGCTGTGTGCAATTTTAAAGTGCTTGGGAATTTGTGAGAAGTGTCGAGATGCCGTTTACATGATACTGGAATGAGTTTCATTCTATAATGAGTTCATCCCGGTTGCCATATATTTCTTTGTATTTGTTTACATGATACCAGAGCCAAATTTCATTCCAGAACGAGTCATACCGGAATGAGTCATCCCGGTTTTCATTCTGGAACGATGAAACACTCATTCCGGAAAGATATTCCATACTGGTATCCTGTAAACATGGAACGAACACTCATTCCGGAATGAAACTGCTCTCGGGGGAGAATGAAACAAATAATGCATGCATATCAGACATTTCAATGCGATTGTAGCTTGAACTTGTCATTGTAACCGCGGTATGAAATTTCATTCTCGTTCCGGAACGAACTCATTCTGGTATCATATAAACGGGCCCTAACACTTATCTTGAGTTCTGCCACAAGGTTCTGCCAAATTTATTTCCCACCAGCTTTAAAACTACACACAACACAGCAAGCAAGTTTTTTTTATTTCTTTTTATAATAAAAAATTAGAGTAACCATTATTTCGGATACAAATGTCAAAGTAAAAAGTGAAGGGGTGCTGTGTGCTCTCATAATGCATGCGTTCCCAGCCAATCAGAACGCGAAATTTATAACTGGTATTTTATATAAGGCATTGCTAACATGAGACTGACATAACCAACCTTGGTGTGAGTTACAACTTGCAGCCAGTGGTAACCAGAAATTATCTTTTTTGTTGCCGATGAACCAAGCAGGATATTCACCAGTGATGCAGAACCATTCAGTAATAAAAGCGTCTTGGTAATAGGAGAATTAACTAAGAGAATAATAGGAGAATTAACTAAGAGAATATAAAATTTATGAGCAGTAAGCTTTGAAAACTATATATCTGTTATACTTTGCAACACTGCAACATGGCTAATTATCAATTGTAAAAAAACGAAGTCAAATTTGTAACTTCTACAATTCCATTCACAGAATAAACCTGTGCTATAGATTGAAGCTTTTAACACTTCAAAATACATATAAAATGTCGACTATTAGTTGTTTTAACAAGGAAAAACACCCGCTGTCTTAAGCTTTTATTTTTTCCAAGATGGCGTCCGAGGACATTAAAATATTTAATACTCACCAAAACCAACAGTTCTTGTGCTGGTCGACATTTAAATGCTAAAATCCTGTGAACACTCGATAGTAATATCCTTGGTATATCTATTTGTACCAAAATTATATTTTCCGGTCAAAATTAATGCATATTTTTTTGGAGAATAAAAGTGAAACCTTCTCTACTTGTCAACATTAGTTACTAGGGATACTCTATCATCAAATACACAGCTAACCCATATGTCTGACATTAGCGATGACCTGATCACAGGCAACCCAAGCTCACTACATTTATAAGAGAATGTATGGGGATTTAGAATATGCCGTATTTTATTTGGAAAAACGTGAATAAAAGTTTGTCGGCTTGCCTGTTGTGTCATTTTCAAAACTCGCTGAAACTGCATACAGGAGTTCAAAATAAACAAAATGATACAACAGGTAAGTTGTCAAACTTTTTTGTTCACGTTTTTTCAAATAAGATACTCTAAATCCCCATACATTCTCTTATAAATGTATTGAGCTTGGGTTGCCTGTGACCTGATCTGGAAGGAACGGATAGACACACGGTGGACATCATGTTGGATGATATACTAACAAAAGAGACAATGACGGATCTTTTGTTAAATTCATCCAACATGGTAGCCTCCTTTGCAGCCGCTGTGAGGCGCTTCCGGTTCCCGTCATTCCCAGTGGTGGGGAATGACGGGAACCGGAAGCGCCTCACAGCGGCTGCAAAGGAGGCTACCAACATGGCGGCTGTGAAAACCATCAATTGAGTTGAAGACGTCTGGAAAAAAGCTCCAAAATGACCAGCAAACAAGACATGGACGAGGTAAAATGCCTAAACCTGGCTCATGTGTTATCTTCTGTTGCATTTTATAGCCAAAAACTATCAAGAGTAGCTGTTGAAGCTTGTTCTGGATAAGATTTATACTTTGGAGTCCAGTCACTAAATGACCGTGAGCTATACTAGCCAATTTATTTATAAGCAAACCACCATCTTTCCAAAATAACTGGATTTTTTTGAAAAGTAAGATAATAAATAGAGGATATTACATGGCCTCGCGGAGATACGGATTTTATCTTCGATTACGTTGAAGTGGCATCTTGCGAGTGAGCGCAGCTCAATCGTAAGATATTCTCAAGCGGTCATGTAATGCTCTTTTTAATACATATTACATAAAATCTGTGTAATATGTAAATGACCGCGATGATATCATTAATAACTTTTGTCATGTAAACAGCACATGGCTTCCTGGATAAGAAGGAAAATTTTAAAAGCTCTGATATTTCTACCAAGGATTTTTCATAGTGAGAAATCCAATAATGACGAAAAAGAGATATGCTCATAATATAGACAAAACAAAACAAAAAAAAAAAAAACAACGACAACGAAAAAACAACAAAAAATCGATTAATTATTCATATAATCTAATTAATTTTCAGGATGTGGAGAACGAATATACCTGTAGTCGTTGGGTGAGGGACATACCAGTGGACCTTGCTCTTTCTACCTATATCAATCAGTGGGCTCAAAGTATATAATAATTTAATATAAATGTTTAGAAAAAATACACAGGTGATTATTGAAAATCTGGCACGCTGATTGGTCGAGAAACTCACACTATCACACGATAATCACCTCCAGCGATAATTGCTTTGTTGTTGTTACCACAAAAAATGTGTCTTTTATCTTCTTATTTTTCTTTTTTTTTTTGAAAGAATCACTAAAACAATCATTTGCCTCAGCCTCAGTGAATATCGGGGAATATTTACCTCGCCGCTCGAAGACTCACTTCTCGGTAAATATTCCCCGATATTCCCTTCACCTTCAGCAAATAATTGTTAAGCATACTGTATAATGGAATAACCTATGGTTTGACAATGGAAAACATTATCTTCAGCTTAAGCTATATTTATACGATACAGTGACTTCTAAAGCAAGAGAGAGCTTTGATGTGGAGCTAAACATTTGTTATGGGAATAAAGAAGAATGCACACTTGATGTTTATAGGACAAAGGAAACACTGCAGAATGGTAAAGCATAGAGTCTAGAGTTCTGTGTTGCTCAGCCTTGGCCAGGGCCCGGTTGTATGAAGCCTGGATAGCGCTATATGATGGATAAATCCTTATCCAGTGGATAAGTCGATGCTGTTATGGACACTCTTTATCCATCGTATAGCGCTATCCAGGCTTCGTACAACCGGGCCCAGCATGATAATGAGTTGCAATAAACCGATGTCAGGGGCCTAGTCAGGATTCTTGGGGGGCCCAAAACACATTTTTAGAAAAAAGTCCCTTAATTCACAGTTCCCTACACCATCTTGGATGGTAATCATGCCTTTACAATAAAGTGAGACAAAGGTGAGCTTGCAATGATAGAGATGTGAATAATTGTCCAAGCTGTTAAAAAAGGTCTCTATCATTGCAAGCTCACTGTTCCTCTCCCTTCAATGGAAAGGCATTGTTACTTACCTTTCAAATGGCACAGGGAACTGTGAAAGGGACTGTTGGTAAGCTGCGTGAACTTATCACATGACTACTTAGGTGTTTAGGTTTCTACAGCATGAGGATGACCCCCTGGCTATGCCACTGGCTGTGTTGCTTGATTACAGACTTATTAACTCAGGTTTAGCCTCGTATCAGTGTCAGAATATTCACAAATACCAGCTGTAAAGTAAAGACTGCACAAATTCGACAATACAAACACTTTGAAATTCAACTGACCTTGACTGGAACACGTGAATATTCTGTACAAAGTCAAGGCTAACCCTGCACAACAGAGAACTTGGAATTGGAGCTTTAGTATTAATCATAGTAGAATATATATCAAAGGAGGATCCAAATAGGCTGGATAGGCTGGCTGGCCACCCCTTTTGGGTCCTAAAAAGTGAATAAATATGAGAGTAATGTAAGATTTAAAAGGAAGCCATATATTGGCCAGCTTCCTTGGTCATGCAGCCACCACCATCATTAAAATCATATACCCTGGATCTGGCGTTGAATATAAAATGATTACAATGATTATCTTGTAAGTCATAAAGGATTATCATTGTCAGATGTTATAACCTCATCATATATCTCTGAAAATACTTGCTCATTTATAAATTTATTTCATGGTATTATTTTTTTGTCACACTCAACAGCAGCAGTATTTATATTTTTTCATGGTGGTTACTGGCAAGAAAGCAGGCAAGTAGATTACTAGTATTAGCTTCCTGCGCAGGCTACTCCATACATTCTATATTCTCTGTTGGGATCCCTGTATTAAATTTTATGGCTGAGAAGAACTAGGGACGAGAAAGGTGGAGGAGTGGGGACGAGGGAGGGAGAGAAAAAGCGAGAGGAGTGGCATCTTCTCTTCTTTTTCTCCCTCCCCGCCCCCTTCCTCCTTCGTCTTTTTGTCTTCGCCAAAGGAATCCCAAGAAGCAAAAAGAGCCAATGAGATGCCTGCGGAGGAGGCTAGTAGATTATACTAGTAATAAAAAAAAGTCCGAACTCGGACCCAGTTTTATCGACGTGCGCGACAAAGTCAACTCGAGCAAGTGGAATGAAACTGGGGAGAACTGTAACAAGGGGTGCTTAATACCATTTAAACCAATCCATCCGGCTAGAAATTCGTTTGCAGGAAACTTGTAATTCCAACGAATGGTACACGTGTCTACCGGAAGAACTGAAAAGAGCGGGAAAAGTGGATAACCTCAATCGTAATGACACGTACCATTCGTTTTCCAACCGGAATGTCCGGTTAATTTCCGGTTAGATGGTGACAGTTAATGGTAGGCACCCAAGATCTTGGAGAAAGGATAGGAGTAGGCTTCCCTTTCCTCATTTTTTTCTTGTTAAAAAAACAGAAACAAAGGGACTCTATGTCAAGAACGAAGGGTAGATCCAGTGAGCGTTTGACAAAATAGCAACATACTAGACGCAACGACAGAGAGGAGAGCAAAGGCAACATTCTTTGGAAGATAATTTCTAACGAAAGAGGGAACAGGGTAACTTCATGCAGCTCTATTCTAAAGTCGCACCTGGAACCTATTTCAGCCCGTATGGATCTTGCTGTACGTAGCCTGCGTCACATCCGAAATTTTCTTCGTAAATACGATATTTACGAAGAAAATTCCGGATGTGACGTAGGCTAGCTGTACGTCGTGTAATCCTGTCAACTTCTGTCCACCCCCTTGACGAAAAGTTCTGGTTATCAAACTCACTTTTTTTTCTTTTTGTAGTAAGGACGAATATGCTCCGCCAATCTTTGCTGCTATGAGAGCGGCCGCATTTACTGTTATGGTTGAGTATCAATTAGCGCCAAAAGGTTAGTTTTTTTAATGGTTCTGGTTGCTTGGTGCAAGTTGCATGGTGCATTAATTAATCATCGCCAAAACTTCGCCAGTGGAGTCTTTTAGACTTAGCAATTTTATGATTTTATTTTCAGCTACGCTAGATGAAATCGTTGCTCAGGTCAAATCTGCCGTTAAGTTTGTAGCAAAACGATTCCCCGAATCACCGTAAGTACTACTGATACGAGGAATTTTTTCCAAAATACTGGCACATCTCAAGATGGGGTCGCGGTAATACACTCGCCTCTCACCTTTGGGTTCTCGGGTTCGATTCCTGTACTCGGCATCACATGTGAATGAGTTTGTAACGTCTCTCCCTTGATTCAAGATTTTTTCTCGCGAGTTCTTATGTTTTCCTATCTCTGCAAAACCTAACGAGCTAAATTCCAATTAAATTGGTGACTTAGCCATGCCTTGACTTTGATCAGCCCAGAGGTCGTTCCAGGGTGTCAAGCAAGTGCAAAAACGTCAAGAAGATTGTTGCGCTTTTGTACGCACGCAACAATGCCTTATTTTACTGTTCTAACGAATTTGTTATTTATCAATGTCGTAGTTTGTAATTTGATTCTGTTCTATCGTTCTTATTGTCAAACGTCGAACTATACATGAGCCGAACCTAATGACATCAGAAAAGACCGCCTAGTTTCCAATTAGGTTCGGCTTATCTGAAGTTCGACGTTTGACCTGAGCCTAAAGCTACGGACACACAGTGCAACATTGCTCGCAATGTTGCATGCAATTGATGTTGCGAGCCATGTCACACGACGCAATTTGTTGCACGCACAATGCTGAAGTAGAAAACTATCCTACTTCAGCAACATTACCTGCAATTTTGCGCGCAATGTTGCACCGTGTGTCTGTGCCTTAAGGAATCTGTTATTAATTAATGTTGTAGTTTATATTTGTGCGGGCACTCAGCCGGAGCTCACCTGTCGGCCATGATGATGATACAAGAATCTTGGGAAGATGCTGATCTGCCTAAAAGGATCAAAGGTAAAGATTATAAGGACAGAGCCGAATTGATGATCAGTGACTATAGTAGAAAGATGAAATATCTATTTTCTCTCACTACTAAAAAGGGATATTTATTTTCATATGTGAAGATATTACATGATATCTTCACGTGTGAAAATAACACTATGGGTAAGATTCCTTAGAAATCACATTAAATAATAAAAATTCAAAAAATTGTATTTCGTCGATAATTATATATCATATATTCGCTGCGCTCACTCGTAAGATATCAATCAACACACAAAGATAAAATCCGTATCTCCGTGCATCGCCCCATGTGAGGGAATCCGGAATCCGGAATCCGGAATCCACGAAATTTTAGGCTTTGGAATCCGGAATCCGCAATACAAAAGTTTTGGAATCCGGAATCCAGACCCTTGGAATCCGGAATCCAGACCCTTGGAATCCGGAATCCAGACCCTTGGAATCCGGAATCCAGACCCTTGGAATCCGNGAATCCGGAATCCAGACCCTTGGAATCCGGAATCCAGACCCTTGGAATCCGGAATCCAGACCCTTGGAATCCGGAATCCAGACCCTTGGAATCCGTAATCCAATGAATGCCTTTGCTCGTGCCAATTCAAACTGGCCACGTACTTATCTCGTTAATGTGTTGGTGATTCCTTCTTGTCTTTTTTTCAGGAATGTGTCTTGTTTCTGGAGTTTATGACCTACTGCCTTTACTAAAGACGACTATCAATACAGCAGTAAAGATGAACGAGTGAGTAAATGAGTAGAAAGGTTTTCGTTTCTGTGGGAAACATATACGACACTGAGTTACAGTCCGTACACGATACGGCATGCCGTAGCATTGAAACGGCTTCCCATAAAAATGGTTATCGTATGAGCGGGAAACATACGGGATCCAACATACGGTACTGACTTTCAGCACGTACACGGT